TGTTTTACTGCCTGAATACCTCTCTAAATCCAATAATATCCGCACATTGTGGACCCAAAGTTGCAGCCACATAACCAGTGTCCAGCTTGAGACCTCTGGAAAAAAATATAGCCCACTGGGTGATTTATTTACAGCGTATAGCTCAACAGCCTCAGCACTGACAGACTCTAATGGGCAAGTCTCAGCTCGGTAGGTGGGACTGGAGCATTACGTGGAACTAAGCCGCTAAATCTCTGTTCCCCCCATTAAGAAATAGCAGTAGGAACCTAAATCAAAAAACAAACAAACAAACAAGACCCTACTAAAGACTGCAAAATAGAAGGGGGAATAAGCTATTAATATCAATTATTTGAAGGAAATAGCTTATTCTCCTTTCTGTAGCTCCAACATAAATGTCAGTGTAAGAAATAATATTTCATTTCAATACTAACAAATCAGGTGCTTAGTGTACTAGGGGAGAAATGATTGGAACTACTTTAAAGCTGCCTTAACCAGAGAAACTGCAAAAATATTTATATTCTTACGATGGAAGAAAGAAATCCCCCTCCTGGGCATATTTAATAGTCCTCCATCTTTGGGATAAATGGTAATGCTAAACAAAAAAATGGAAAGATGACCTTAGAATAATAACCTCATGATCCAACTGGGACTCTGCTTTCCAACATACAGAAATCATTTGCAATATGTTCAGAACGGAAATTTCTATACTGCTTTTATAGCTCATAGAGCTCCTTATGGGCTACAAAAAACTGGATTCAATTCCTTCTTGTGAGGCAGGCCCTCACATGTAAAATTACTCTGATCCCCATGCTTGCTGCCAGTGGTTCTGCTCAGTTATTCAGTGGTGATGGGGAAAACAAAACAAAAAAAATGTGTTTCATATATTTCAAAGTATTGTTAAAGGAGAGCCAGGTGTGGCATTGCTGGGTACTTCTGCTTGTCCCCTAGTGCCTCTAGAATATACAAAGGACACTCAGATGGCACAGTGAAACAACACAGAATTAGGTGCCAAAATGCAGCATTTATTTAGTGGTTTCACTCAGTTGTCCTGCTCCCCTTGTGCTAGGATGGGTCTGACTTCACAAACCAAGCAAGGGTGGGTCAAGGACCACAGGAGCTATGAGATCAGGATAATGATCTACTAGATGATGGTGGTCCACCATGCTTTAGATCACGTTCTGGTCACACAGGTCTCGGATGCAATCCTAGGGTGAAATCAAAAGGAGTTTACCACTGACTCCAGTGGAGTCAGGATTCTGCCCACTGTCATTTAGGCAAGATTTAAAAGTGAATTCCCAATCTCAACTGGCACTTTTTAGAAGAATAGAGAGTGTTGCTCTGGCCAAACTGGGTAATTATACTCTCCAAACTTTCAATCTCTCCAAGGTTCGGACTAGCCACCTCAGCACCAATAAAATGTAGCTGCAGCAATGCCAAGCTCAGAACAGATAGCGAAACACAACCAGTAACCATATTTTGAACACCACTATATGTATCCTGAGCTCCATAATGCTGCTCTTACAATATTCTCACACTGTTACTGGTACCCATGCTGTATACTCTATGTTAGCATGGCTATGTCTACAGCAGTTGCAATCATTCATTTGATTGCAATGTAGATGCACTCTGAGAAGGAGAAACTCCCCCACTCCTACAGAAATGATAATACTACCTGCCAGGGCACAATAGTCCTTTTAGCCCCAACCCAGGATATTAGACCAATACTGATTCAGAAAGAAGAGTGCTCTTGCCATATCTGTAGCACCCTATAATTATCTTAAGACCATGAACAAGAAAGCAAATTAAAGACATTTAACGAGAGAAAGAGACTCTCTGTGGATGTGCTGACTCCTGGTAACTGCTTGTGTGTCTGCAATTATTCTGCAATATGTGAAAGCTAAACCAGGCAGTTTATCCCAGAATGAAGCACAGCTAAGCTTTCACTTACCACAGAGTAATTGCAGGCACATGAACAATTACAAGGAGGCAGCTCTTCCACACAGTCTCCACACTCAGTGCCCAAATGCTTGTCTGACATCCCTCTCACCAATACTTCTTGGTGGGAAAAAAGGTATTAGCTCACCTCACAAGTATTAAGAACATAAGAACTGCCATTTAATGGGTCTGACCATAGGTCCATCTTGCCCTCTATCCTGTGTCACACAGTGGCAGAGAGTGGATGCTGAAAGGGAGATTGAACTGGGTATGACCACGGTTTTTTCTGGGTTTTTTTCCCTACTGTTCCTCCCTTACTTGCAGACCTCCAGCATTTAAGGTCTAGGAAGATTTATTTCAGAGGCTGTATCTCTAATTCCTGCACTCAATAGCTACTTATGCCCCTTTCCTCCAAGAATTTATCCAATTCCTTTTTGTTTTTTTGTTTTCCTCAGACCCTTAGGGATGGACCAAAGGAAATATCTTCTAAAAACCAAGCCTTATGTGTTCACATGGGGCTGAGCTGATGAAGCCAGCTTCATTACAGTACATTTAGTACCAAACAAGAACAACTGTGTGTGTAAAGTATAGCACAGGTGTTCTCATTTGCATACCATTACCCAGAATGCTCTTTCATCTCACTGTTATTTGATAGCAGATGCTGCTGTCTGAATTCAAACGATTCCTTAGAAGCAGAGAGTTACCGATGAGTAAAAAGACGGCCCATGTAGACACAAGAGGGGAAACAGAGTTTTTGTTTCTTGGGTTAGGAAGTCTCAGAGAGTGAGCTGAAACAATCAGGCCATCATCTTCCCTTTAAAAAATAAGATTGGACTTTACAAAGCCCACTATCACAGAGACTTTTATTTACACTATACCTGCAGGGCATAAGGACAGAGCAAGCAAAGGAACTCAAATTCTGTTAGACTCTTCTGTAGCTGCCAGTGTTATTAGTAATATAGCTGAGAAAGCTGTCTGATTTATGTGATGGCTTTACTTCCCACTGGTTAGCTGTAAAATCCCTTGCCAGCAATACAATTATAATATATACCACAGAGATGTCAAATAATTCTAATCAGATCATGGTAATCATAGGAGCTACAAGGGCCAATTTAGCATTCCAGCATCATGGGCTTATGGTCACTTCAGGAATAATGCAGGAATTTAACTGGGCGAGTAGAGCTGGTTATGAAATTTAACAAAAACTATATGGAAAACCAGGAAGGCCTTTGTGGTGGGCTAGCAGGGGGTGCTACTGCGCTGAACCACCCACCTCACTGCGCGTGACCACCTACCAGGCTCCGAGTGCCTCCCTAGGGTGCCTCACATCCAGCTGACCCCCTTCCCAGAGCACACCCATGAGCCTGGGATCACTGCTGCCACCACCCAGGAGTCTCGGTCTGTGCATGGCCCTGTGCCCCCTGGGATACACAGGCCTTGTAGACCTTGAGGGTGATTGACCCACTGCAAGAACCTGGGGTTCTTCCCTTAGCCTGGAGCACAAATACTGGTCTCTCTTAGACAGCCGGACCAAGGGGACACACAGGCATGCCCCTCTCCCTCTCCTAGCCAGTTCACCATGCTTAGAACAATGGAGAAATGTGTTGGTTACAGGGAGTAGGTTTGGGGTAGGGTACAAGATAGAGCAATATCAAAGAATAACCTTAGAGCAAACAGTGTGGCTAGGTAGCTGTTGATTATCCATCTGCTGTACTGCAAGCTATATATCTAGATAGGTTTCAAGTAGCTTACTCACAAATATCATCCAGAGGTGGATTGAGCTTTCCTCTGGAGGCAGGTAGTTTGTAGTATGACCAGTTAAAAGAAAGGAAGGGAGACAGCGACAGTAGTTCAGCTGCTGTCCCCCTCCCGCCCCCAGAGCCTAGGGCTCCAGCCTGGGAGCTCTCTCCCTGCTTTCTATCAGGGCTGTCTCCAGCATGGCTCTGCCAGAAATGTCTCTTCGAGATGCCTCATCCCCTTCCAGGAAGAAGGGACCCTATATATCCCTGTTGTGACCTCATCACTAAGTCCCCACCAGAAGCAGCCCCCTTGGCTGATGCCTGGTGCTTTCAAGTGACCTCTCCTTCCAGGTTCAATCAGGCAGGTGCTTCTTATGCCAACCAATCAGTTTTAAAAGCAATACTGGTCACCTGGTGGTGTGGGCGCCTGCCCCCTTGCCATGAGGTAGGTGCCCAAACAATAGGGGCTAGGGTGACCCAGGCAACCAGGCTGACAGACAGGTGAGATAACTGCTCACATGACCTGCAGAGGCAGGGAACCTGACAGGAGGAGGAGCAGGCTCCCCTTCCCTCAGGAATGCCTCCAGCTCGGGTTACAACTCAGGGTTACCTGAAACAGATGGAGGGGGGAGGATGGTTCCTGCCCACCATGGTGAACATGGTAAGCAAATTGACAGACAGGTGATGAGACAATTCTTCCACACTTCCAGCTGGGGCCTGTCATGCAGGCCAAGGGGTTGCTCAACAACCAGACACACAGACATATGAGAGAGAGAGGAGGAACAGACTACCCCCAGGGCAAGGGGAAGGCTGTAACAGGAGGGGGCTGTGACAGCATTTTGCCACAACCTTAACCCTTCTTCTCTACAATGAAGCAGACGTGAGGTTGTTTCATTTGAAAAAGACTCCTCCTTAGTCATGAAACCCAAAAAGCATCTTATCTGGGGTGGATTCCCAAAGATTTACACTCTTTTTACCCCCCTGTAATCCGGCACCTAAGGATTTGGTCCTGATTTACACTACAGCATGAGAGACAAGACCCAGGCTTTGTCTCTTACTGCGAAGCAGGGCTGGAGCGTGGATGGGGTACCATGTCATTGAAGAGAACAAGTCAAGGGGTGACTGGCGTACAGCTGCAGAGGCAAATTTGGAAACATCGGTGCACTCTCAAGCAATGGCAAGGAATTCCAGCAAATATTCAGGAACTCACTCCACTAAAGGGCTTGGGGAATCATGAAACTGTGACCCAAGCTCCAAGCAGCAAATTAAAATGGGCACCACAAAAGAAAGGAGGAAAGGGACGGTCTTCTCAACAAAGGTACTCACTTTGTAGAGCCCTTGACTACAGCCACAGTATGTGCTTTCCATTGTGTAGCTCCTCAGCACACCAATCTCCTGCCACACAACCACTCGGGCTGTCGATGCACGGGACTTCTCCACAAGGAAACTGCAGCTGCTCATGATGAATGGAGCAGCCACTTTATCCAGGATTTTGGGGAGGGTCTACAACAAAGTAATAACAGAAATGTGAATACAAATTTGACAGCTAAATAGACAGGCAGCTATGTATGTGTATGTATACACTCATGTATACATACATATTTATTTGTCTATTGATAATTATCAAATTTACATAATTATTCTTGATCTAACACCAAAGAGAGCTGTGTGAAAATTCTAATATCCATTTCCTGGTGATTCCTGATAATCAACACTTGTTTTCCTCCCAATTGAGGCCTAAAATCTGATTGTTTTTACTTGATTTTCAATCAAAACGAGACATTTTTGACATTCTTGAATCAATATGTTTTGTTTTGATTTAAATTACTCAAAAATCTGAATTTTGAGTCAATTCACCATTACCCTGCACTGTGGTATAAGCCTGTTTGTGGTATAAGCCTCCTGGGACTCAGTTTTCAGCAACCTGATACTAGGGCTGTGCAAAATGTTCGTCCCTGATTCGATTCAGGAGAGATTCAGTCCAATCCGGTGGCCAAATCTCCAAATCCTAATCAAAACAGAGGACCCTTAATCTCTCTGAATTGTTTCGGAGAGATTCAGAGATTCAGACATAGAGACAGCTTTAAGTGTTTTTTCTACATAACTCTAGGTAGCAGGTGGCTTGTGAATGCTGTGATGCTGGGGCGCATGGAGTCTCACAGGAGTGCAGGGGGTTCCCCAGCACACTTGGCAGCAGACCCAGAAGTGGACCAGAAGCACTTCTGGTCCATTTCTGGGTCTACCAGGGAGCACGCAAGACCTCCTACCCCCGTGCCCTCCTGGCTCAGTGACTGGTGCCTCCTGGGTCTGGGGGGCGCACCTAGGGTCCCCCGGTGGCCAATCGCCGAGCCAGGGAGGCATGGGGGGGGCCCCCAGTGTGCTCCCCAGCAGACTCGGAAGTGGACCAGCAGTACATGGAGGGCCCCCCCACACTCCTGTGGGATGCTCCATGCACCCCAGCATTGCAGCCATCATGAGCCGTGCCTGCTACCTCAAGGAATGTGGAAAAAACTTTTAAAGCTGTGTCTATGTCCAAATCACTGATTCTCCGAATCAGCATCAAATCTTCAGATTCAGATTCCACCAAATCAAATCAGGGACAGTGATCTGAATCAACAAATCGAATCACTGTCCCCGATTCAGGCCGAATCTGAATTGAATACAGCCTGCTTCGCACATCCCTACCTGATACCCCTGTTCTTTCCTATGGGCCAGTCTTGTTGGCTGGATCACCTTTCCCACAATCTACCATGCAGCCTGGTAAAAGAAGGGAGCCTTGTTGCATTAGTAGACATACGTTCCTTCAAGGAGCCCAGACCATAGGAGAGAGGGTCACCCTGGACTGGGTTAGTGTTGCACTAGCTTGAAAGAAAACATTTTGGGTCAGGGAAACCAACTGAAGTATGCCAATTCAGGATGAAAGGATGCAGAATGAAATATTTCATTTAGATTGCTTGGATCAAAACAAAACAAAATTGGTAAAATTAAAATTTTGATCATGTGGAAACTGCATTTTTCACTGAAAACTTATTCCTGTGAAAAATCTTTAACCACTTCCAGCCTAAATATATTGGTCTACATGTAGTTATACCTTATTTATCAGGTAGCAGTGTGCCCTTGTTGCCAATGGCTAACAGCATACGGGGCTGCATTAGTAGGAGTGTTGCCAGCAGATCAAGTATTTAAAGGTGGGGACCATCAAGTTAGAAATTATGAGACAAATCCTATCATGATATAACTAAGCACAATCTATGCCAGCAGAGTGTTGTTCCCTACAAGTGAAAAGGGAAACAAAAAAGAAAGAAAGGAAAGAAACTTTTTTCTACAAAGCAGATTCCATTTTCCCAAAAAGCTGTTTATTTTTGTATCTCCTTCCCCCGGGAAGAAAAACCAGACTAGTCAGTTCACTGTCCGATTCTTTGTCATTCAGTCCTATCTGGTTTGTGTTCGCAACACTTCAGGAGAATATTGGGTTTGGCTAAAACGGGGGACGAAGAAGAATGGGGACCTTCAATATTTTCCAAGATGCATCTTGTATAACCCAAAAACTTCTAGCTAAAATTCCTTAGTAACATCCTTTTTAATGCCTTTGATTGTATATAAAACAACAATACTACACTGGATTTTTCTAGCATATTCTAGCTGAAGATCTTAATGTCTATAAGTCAAAGTCTATAACTGCTAATGAACTCACCTTCCAAACACCTAATATATCACTGAAATATTATTAAGCACATTTTACAGTTGAGGAAACTGAAGTACAGAAATAACCCATGGACTTGCCCAAGGTGTCATGGTGAATCAGTGTCACTGCCAGAAATAGTTCTCAAATTTTAAGATGCCCAATAATCAGGTTTAGCTGTAAAACTCTCCTTTTCATATTCACGTGCAACAAACACAACCTCCTAGATTCAGTGTCTTAGTTTACATTCAACATCCAAAATTATCTCAGCCATGTGGGAATCGCTAAGTGATATGTTCTCATGAACTACTTCCTAGATGCAGGTTGAACTGGGATTCTACACACGCACAGGTGTACAGGCACACATCAACCAAATGTTGATAAACCTCAGGAAAACTGAGATAATGGCTTAAGCTATAGGTGAACATTTTGGAGTGTTCCCATTTTGCCCTTATCTGAACCAACACCCAGATTTATATTTTGGAAGTGCCACAAACAGATTCCCAAGCCAATTTAGCTTGTTAAAACAACTGAAATTGTATGTCTAATCAATCTCTTACATTTAATTAAATAAAAATGCTAGCAGGTAACAGAAATGCCTCTGTGTGTAGGACTCACTTCCGAGCATTAGCAAATCTGAATTTAATATTTTTTTTTTATTCTACCAATGTTCTTCAGATTTCACACTAATGGTTCTTTCTTCTCTATTTATTTTTCCCATTAATTATCTTTCAATCTCACATTTAAAATGAAACAAGCCACTAACAGGTATCTTAATAGCAATGAAGCAATTTGACCGGGAGTTCTTTTCACCCACAGGCTAGGTCCCATATGGATAGCAGAAGGGCAAGATGCCTCTATACACAGAAACTGATCCACAGTTCACCATATAGACTGGATAAGAAGAAAGCTAAGGACCACAGTCTTCTTCTTCATTGGCCTCTTGGGAGCCAGGCACTGATTATTTTGATGTCACATCCAGTATACCATCCATGCAGGCCAAAGTCTCATTATATGGTAACAAAAGGTCCTGTTCATAAGTATCAACCAAAGGTCAGGCATGAGCCATTGACACACGTAGGAAGGGCTGTTTGACATGTGCCAGCCTCATGGGCCTTCTAGTCTCTGTCCTTCTGTCCCACTGTCTTCCAGCCTCAGACTTTGCACCACTCGCCAACTCCATGCTTAGTCCTATAGCAGCCTGGCACTCCATACACCCTAGTTCAGACCAGGCCTCACTCATTAGGATTGTGTCAAAATCATAGAAAATGAGGGTTGGAAGGGACCTCAGGAGGTCATCTAGTCCAACTCCCTGCTCACAGCAGGACCATCCCCAACTACATCATCTCAGCTAAGGCTTTGTCTAGCTGTGTTTAAAAAACCTCAAAGGATGGAGATTCCACCACCTCTCTGGGTAACCTGTTCCAGTGCTTTACTGCCCTCCTGGTGAGAACGTTTTCCTCATATCTAACTTAAACTTCCCTTGCTGCAACTTGAGACCATTGCTCCTTATTCTGTTGTTGGCCACCACTGAAATCAGTCCAGCTCCATCCTCTTTGGATCCCCGCTTCAGTTACTTGAAGGCTACTATTAAATCTCCCCTCAGTCTTCTCTTCTCCAGACTAAAAAAGCTCAGTTCCCTCAGACTCTCCTCATAATTCACGTGCCCGAGCCCCCTAATATTCTGTAGCCCTCCACTGGACTCTCTCTAGTTTGTCCACGTAGTTTTCTGCAGTGGGAGGACCAAAACTGGACACAGTACTCCAGATGTGGCCTCAGCCGTGCAGAATAGAGGGGAAGAATCACTTCCCTTGACCTGCTGGCAATGCTCCTACCAATGCAGCCCAGTATGCCATTAGTCTTCTTGGCAACAAGGACACACTGCTGGCTCATATCCAGCTTATTGTCCACTGTAACCCCCATGTCCTTTTCTGCAGAGCTGCTGCTTAGCCAGTTGGTCCCAAGTCTTCACTGGTGCGTGGGATTGTTCCATCCTAAGTGAAGGACTTTGCACTTCTTGTTATTGAACCTCGTAAGATTTCTTTTGGTCCAGTCCTCCTCTTTTGATCCAATTTGTCAAGGAGTCTCTGAATCTTGGCATACCCTCCAGTGCATCTACTACTTCTGCCAGCTTGGTGTCATCTGTAAACACCCTGAGGGTGCACTCCATCCCATCCTCTAGATTATTGATGAAGGTATTGAACAAAACTGATCCCAGCACCAACCCCTGGGGTGCTCCACTTGAGACTGGCTGCCAGCTAGACATTGAGCCATTGATTTCTACCCTTTGAGCTTGATGATCCAGCCAGTTTTCTATCTACCTTACAGTACATTCATCCAACCTATACTTCCTTAGCTTGCTTTCAAGAATGTCGTGGAAGACCGTATCAAAAACCTTGCTAAAGTCAATGTATATCATGTTCACTGCTCTCCCTGCATCCAAAGCCAGTCATCTCATCATAGAAGGCAATCAGTTTGGTCAGGCATGACTTGCCCTTGGTGAATCCATACCAACTGTTCCTAATCACCTTCTTCAAATGCTTAGAAATGGATTCCCTAAGGACCTGCTCCATGATCTTTCCAGGGACTGAGGTGAGGCTGACTGCTCTGTGGTTCCCCGGATCCTTCTTTTTCCCTTGCTTAAGGATGGGCCTTATATATGCCTTTTTCCAATCATCTGGAGCCTCTCCTGACTGCCATGAGTTTTCAAAGATAATGGCCAGTGAGTGGCTCTGCAATCACATCTGCACTCTCAGGTGCTCTGTGTCTGTCCTCATGAACTTGTACACATCCAGCTTTTCTAACCAGTCCCTAAACTGTT